GGGTGAACCTGAGTGAAGGCCCCGCTCCGCTCCTGGAGATGTCAAAAACATTTCTGTAAAATCAATACCAGTCACACAGAAACTCAGAAGAGGGGAAACACTTCATTTTACTAAGCAAATATACTTTGAATACAAAAACCAAAGACATTAAGGAATAAAAGAGTGTTTAGGGGGCTGGAGAGACGGTTCCACAATTTAAAAACACTGGGTGCTCTTCTAGAGGACCTAGGTTCAATCCTCAGCACCCATATGGCAGCTCACAATGGTCCATACCTTCAGTTTCAGGGACTAAACACCATCTGGCCTCCTCAAGCCAAGGCATGCACATGGTGCGGTCTTACATGCACAGACATACAGAACACCCATACACATAAAATATTTTTTAATTTAAAGCTTTTAGACGAATGTCTCATGAATTTAGAGACATTCTTACCAAAATGTAAACGTGTCAAAATCAATAATATATAAAAAGGAATAATATGCCGGGCAGTGGTGGCACACACCTTTAATCCCAGCACTCAGGAGACAAAGGCAGGCAGGTCTCTGTGAGTTCGAGGCCAGCCTGGACTACAGAATGAGTTCCAGGAAAGGCGCAAAGCTACACAGAGAAACCCTGTCTGGGGGGAGGGGGGGGGATAATACAACATGATTAAGTGTGGCTGAGTCTAGAATGCAAGGTTGATTTAACTTTCGAGAATACGAGACTGGAGTGGTGGTTCAGCAGTTAGGAGCACTTGCTGCTCTGCCAGAGAGCACTGGGTTCGATTCCCAGCACCCACAGGGTTGCTCACAACCGTCTGTAACTCCAGCTTCAGGGGCTCTAACTACCTCTCCTGGCCTCTACGGACACCAGGCACTCAAGTGCTCAGATATACCATACAGACAAAACACCCACACACATAAAAAAAATTTTAAATGTTCTACAAAAAACATAAATGTAACACCACGTAAACTAAGGAAAAATTAGAGATCATCTCAGTAGATATAGAAAATATGATGAAATTCTAAACTCATGATATTAAGTTTGAAACCCAAAAACAGTCTCCTGGGGGTGCAGCTCAGTTGGCAGAGTGATAGCCTAGCCTGCAGGAAGTCCTGGGTTCAGTCTACAGTACAACACAAAGCCCAACACCGTGATGAATGCTTTTCATCCCAGCACATTGGAAATGGAGGCAAAAAGATCAGAAGTTCCAGGTCATCCTCAGTTACTTAGTGAGTTCAAGGCCAACTTGGAATATATGAGGCCTTATCTCAAAAATAACAGCAAAGAAGGAATAGAAAGTAACTTTCATTTTTTTAAGATTTATTTATTGTGTATACAGTGTTCTGCTTGCATGTATGTCTGCAGGCCAGAAGAGGGCACCAGATCTCATTACAGATGGCTGTGAGCTACCATGTGGTTGCTGGGAATTGAACTCAGGACCTCTGGAAGAGTAGTCAGTGCTCTTAACTTTAGCTGAGCCATCTCTCCAGCCCAAGAAACTTTTTGTGAGTGATGGTATTAGGGAACAAACCTGGGGTCTTGTACGTGGTATTGAATGTAATCCCAACAGACATTCTTAACCTTATAATCTACAAAACTTGCCAACAGCATACTTGAAGGTGAAAATGGGATCTTTCCCCTTAAAGCAAAAGGTTATCTGTAGTAACACAGACCTGCAATCCTGGCACTTGGAAGGCTGAGACAGAAAGGCTCAAACTTCAAGGCCAGTCTGGGAATATATAAATGTATGTAGGTGTGTGTGTGTGTGTGTGTGTGTGTGTGTGTGTGTGTGTATGAAGACTGTGTCTTGGACAGAAAGGGGGAGAAGGGGAGGAAGGAGGCAGGCCAAGGGTAGCAGTACACAACTTTAATCCCAGCATTCAAGAAGCAAAGGGAGGTGGATCTCTGTGAGTTTGAGCCAGCCTGATCTACATAGCAAGTTCCAGGCTGGCCAGGACTACATAGTCAAACCCTCTTTCAAAAAGGGGGTGGATGTTTTACCAAAGGTCCTAACCAAATGAATGCAGCTCAAAGAGAAAAGGCACATAATCTCAAAGGAAGAAGTGAACCTTGTCTTATTCTCAGTGTCCTAATTTGGAGTACAAAAAGAGCCACTGGAACTGGGAAAACAGGGCCAATGTATGAAAGTCTATTGTTTGTTCATGGGTTTTCATTTTCAGGTTATCATACAATGGGTTTCACATTATGGCACTTCATACAAATGTGCAGTACTTTGTTGTCATTTGGTCTTCTTCCACATGTCCTCTCCATGTCACCTAGGTAACTAGAATCACTAGTTCTCTTTCTTCCCTACAAAAACCAGTCTTGTGACATGCTTGTTTAACCTGTCCAAGACCCTGGATTTGCCTAAATTTGTTCTCTACTACTGATGGGGGAAATAAAGGTTATTTGTATGTACTAAAAACAATTAGATTAAAATTTAAAATATACACCATTTTCCATGGTGTCCAAGACCATGAAATACATATGAATAATTTTAGATCTGTGCTAAAAGCTATAGGATAATGCCAAGGAAAAAATAGACTGTAATGTGTTCATAAATGGCTGGCTCCAAAAGCACTGTGATGTCCATTATCTTCGTAGTGGGTTTTTTTGGTGGTTTGTTGTTAAAGAGACAGAACACAGGGCTTCCCACATGCTAGGCAAGCACTTTACCAGGGAATTACATCGCCAGCCCCTAACATTGATCTCTGTGTTCAATAAAATCTGAAATTTTTTCAGTAAGTGCTTTACATTTTTATTGGTGTATATTCGTTGTATATAGTGATGGGTTGCATAAAGACTATTTTGGTTTTTTGGGTTTTTTTTTTTTTTTAAGATTTATTTATTTATTATGTATACAGTGTTCTGTCTGCACATATCCCTGCAGGCCAGAAGAGGGCACCAGATCTCATTACAGATGGTTGTGAGCCACCATGTGGTTGCTGGGAATTGAACTCAGGACCTTTGGAAGAGCAGCCAGTGCTCTTAACCTCTGAGCCATCTCTCCAGCCCCAAAGACTATTTTGTTTTGTTTCTGAATCAGACTCTTGCTGTATAGCTCTGGCTGCCCTGGACTTTCACTCGATAAACTTGGCTGGCCTCAAACTCACAGAGATCTGCCTGCCTCTGCCTCCCGAGTGCTGGGGTTAAAGTTGTGCTCCACTTCATCCAGCTACATAAAGTTATTTTCATGTAAGTACTTTGTTCAATAGAAATTTCAAAAGGCCTTTTTGTAGAAACTGGTGTGTTGATTAAGTATCTGTGAAAATGCAAAGAACCTGAAATAGTTAAAAGTCTTGCTTTTAGCTTCTTTAGATTTATTTTATGTGTGTGAGTGTTTTGCCTGTACATACATGTGTGCACAAAATACTTGCCTTGGAGGTCAGAGGAGGGCATCAGATTCCTGAAACTGGAGGTACAGACGGTTGTGAACCACCCTTTGGGTCTTCTGCAGCAGCAGCCAGTGCTCTTAACCACTGACTGAGCCATCTCTCCAGCCCCTAAAATCTTTTCTTTTGGTGCTCAGGATGGAGCCGAGGGCCTTTCCCATAATAGCCAAGTGCTCTACCACTAAACTATACCCTCAGGCTTAAAATATTTTTTTAAAATAAAAAGACTGGCTGGGTCACTCATGTGACCTGATCTCAAGATCTGCTATCAAGCCCGTGTGGCTCTAGCTTGAGGGCAGACAAGCAGACCAATGAAACAGAAGACAGTCCAGAAAGATCACTTGACAGCGAAGATGCCAAGGTCAGTGTACCAGGAAAGGATAGTCTTTTTCAGAATTGGTGTTAGAGGAACTGGATATGCATTTGAGGGAAAGGCAGGAGGTGAGGGACCAACATTGAACTTTTCCTACTACATAAATAAAAATGAACTCAAACTAATGTAATAGCACATGCCTGGAATCCCACGTCCTCAGGAAGCAGAGACAGATGCTCACAAGTTCAAGGCCCTCCTTTGCAACATGAGATACTGTTACGGAGTTCATGATACCTTGAGAAATCAATCTGGATTATAATTAGTTACATTTATTAAAGTAGCTAGCAGGACAACAGTCTCTGAGCCAACGCTGAGATTGCTTCATGAAAGAGGGGTGAGGGGAGGGTTTTTAAAGGTGAAAACCACAGAAGACTTTGAACATCTACACAAGCAAGGCAAGAGCTGTTCTGCTCTGTCAAGATCAGGTGACCTCAGATTAGTCCTTGAATGCCTACAGAAGCAGGTTACAGAAGCCAAAAAGCAGTTGTTTTGTTTTGTGGGAGACAGGGTTTCTCTGTGTTACCCTGGCCATCCTGGAACTGACTCTGTAGGCTGGCCTTGAACTCACAGAGATCCACCTGCCTCTGCCTCCCGAGTGCTGGCTGGGATCAAAGGCATGCACCACCAGGCCGGGCCAAGGTTGTATATTTTTGCATGGGGGTTGACTAAGTCAGGGTTCCTGGGAAGTTATCGTCCAGGAACTGGAGTCAGAGACAAACAGCTAGTGGGCACCAGGATGTATGCCTAGCATAAAAGGGAGTTTCTTTAGCAATCACAACACCATCTCAGAAAAGTGAACTCAAAATATATCATACACCTAAGAGTCAAAGCTAAAATCAGAGTCAGGTGTGGTGGTGCCCGCCTATAATCCCAACACTTGGGAGGGAAAGGCAAAAGAACCTTGGGTTCAAGAACAGCCTTGCTGCATAACAAGACCTTGTCTCAAAAAGGAAGGAAGGAGAGAGAGAGAGAGAAGGAGGTAGGTATGAAGGGAGGGAGGGAGGGAGGGAGGGAGGGAGAGAGAGAGAGAGAGAGAGAGAGAGGAAGGAAGGAAGGAAGGAAGGAAGGAAGGAAGGAAAGAAATCTTTGGAATACATATATTTGACGCAAGACAAATACCCAGTATATATAAAGAACCTCTATAACTTAATAAGGAAATAATCTCAAATAACTCA